CACCCGACACAAATTCATTCAGTGCTGTGCCTAAGCAGCACGTCTAACACTCACACATGCTCATTTATCCTCTGATGAATGCATCAGTATTCCAGTGTCTTTAGAACAGGTACTGTCAATATAAATGCTGACAATTGGAAAAAGACACAATTCATTAGACAGTTTAAAGTTTTTAGACAACAGAAATTACAACCAACAAATGTACGGTCATTTACAAGATGGTAGGTTTGATTAGGAAAGTCAGCGTGCAGACAAGGTGTTTGTGTGGAGGACCCAAATGCAGATGCATGGAGGCGGGGTGCGTTCAGCAAAAAGCAAGCTGTTTATTGGCTGATGATGAAGATACCAAGTACAAACATAAAGTTCACAAAGGGAATTTAAATCTTGGACAATCCTGGGAACAGTGAACAGACAAACTGACAAAGGCCAAGACAAGTGTGGAGAACACATCACAGGTGAACTAGACTGCAGCAGATGAGCCAAGGGAAGCAAAAACTGAAAACAAAGCACCACGACAACAGCTCACTAACATCCAGCAGGAAATGTGAAAACTGAAATCCTGCTGATATTTAGGGCAGATCAAGCCTAACCGGACTGCAACAGCCTGATGAATCTGTCTGTGTTCCATGATGCTATAAAAAATGGATGGATGTGTGCACGTTCACTATAATGCTGCACTTCTCTCTGGATAAGCTGGACACCCGATACTTTAAGAGTGCCTCAGTTTTCTGTTGCATGTCTTGATTCTGGAATAATTAACGGAAGCTGTGAGAACTTTGAGGACTGTTCTAATATCTGTCCTTCAGCCTGCACTGATATCTTGGACTCCACTCAGACTGTCTGCGCTAAGCCATTGTCAGAGCCATGGTTCAGTGAACATAGGTGCACCCTTAGACATGATTGTAGATGTGCTGAAGGTAGATGGAAGAAGGATAGGATGTATGTTTCTATAAAGATACTTAGGGACTGTCTCTCTGTTTACCAAATAGCCACAAGCCTAATCATATCATCAGTACAAGTAATAATGTTGGAGCTTAGTATGTGTGAGGCAGTAGGTGACGAGACACAAGACCTAATAGCTGAAACTTGGTCAGTAAAAAATGCCAAAAAAATCGTCAGTGTTCCTCCTGTGTGCTCAGCTGTCTTGGAGCAGTTTGAGCCTGTTTCCCTGAGTTAAGGATCCGTGGTAGTTCATCGCCTAAGATAATCACACTGCCCATCAGATCGTCTCCCCCCAAACCTCCTTAAACATAATTGGGCTTTATATCCAGAAATTAATTGACACTTTGTGTCCCATCATTTTTTAAACAGCCTCTTCTTAAAAATCACACTGTGGACCCAACTGTTCTGGTTAATTACAGGCCAATCTTGAAGCTCCCCTTTCTTTCAAAAGTTCTAGAGACAGTGATCTGCTTACAGTTGGAGGCTCACCTTGATCTTAATGAGATCTCTGAAAAGTTTCCGTTTGGTTCTAAATCACTACACAGCACTGAGACAGCACTTTTGAATGTTTTAATGACATTTTCTTAACTCTGGGTTGTAGCAGCCCTGCTGCCCTCTTGATGTTGAGCCTTTTATCCTTTCACTGTAAGACAAATGTTAAAAACCTCGGTGTGCTGTGATGCTTCCTTCAAACTGTGTAGGCAGGTGAGCGCAGTAGTCCGATCTAGCTTTTTCCATCTGAGACAGGTAGCCAAGGTAAAGCCAGACCTTCCAGCTAATGTCTTTCAGTGTGTTATTCATCTCTTCATTATGTGAAGATTACTGCCATTCTCTGCACAGGCCTCTCTTTATCATCTCCAGTTGGTCCGAAATGCCGCCGCTCGTCTGCTAACTGGCATTAAAAGGAAGGAGCCTGTGACCCCAGTGTTGGCCTCTCTACACTGGCTTCCTGTTCCTCATAGGATCCAAATTTAACTTTTTGTTTTTAAATCACTGAACAGTCGAGCCTGCTCTTACCTGTCTGAGCTCCAGAAAGAACCACGAGGTCCAGGTCAAAACGAATGCTATCCATTTCACAGTCTTAAATCTGGTGGCAACAGAGCCTTCTCCCGATCTCTACATATTAGATCTACACATGTTTGGGTTAGCACACACTGACCCAAACCTCTCTTTGTTTTAACAGCCTTAGTCATTGTTGTTGTAGTTGGTTTTTGTGTCTAATGGTTTTATTCCTTCTCTTTTATTGCATCATTTTTGTGCATTTTAATTTGTAAAGCATAATGTGCAGCATGAGCAGCACTGTGGTAGGCAGTGAGCAGAGGGCCCAGTAGAGGACGTCGGGCCCTCAGGCCACGATCATGAAATCCATTTCTAATTGTTTGGTCTGAGACATTGACACTGGTGGCCTGCTGGAGGGCATCCTGTGGAGCTTTGGACATGCTCATTTTCTTTGTCCTTGCACAAATGAGGAGATATCAGTCCCCCCGATCGGTTAAAGGCTTCTACAGCCCCGTCCAACTCTCCTAGAGTAACTCCCTGTCTCCTGGACTCTCCTCCATGCTCTTGAGACTGTGCTGGGAGACACAGCAAACCTTCTGGCAATGACACATATTGATGTGCCATCCTAGAGGAGTTGTACTACCCGTGCAACCTCTGTAGGGTCCAAGTATCTCCTCATGCTACCAGTAGCAATGCTCACCCTATTCAAATGCAGAAATACTGATAAAACAGTCAGAAAAGATGAGGAGGGACAAATGTCAGTGGCCTCCACCTGTAAAACTATGCCTGCTGATTATTTCATTAACACCAAAGCTGCTGAAACTGATAAACTCCTTTGGTACTCAACTGACCAGGTAATTACCTCAGAAGTTTAACTGACTGTACTCTGATAAAAACTGTTCTTTTAATTGTATTTTGGAGCAGTATATTTAAGTTACGATAAGGTACGATCGTGGCTCAAGTGTTGGCAGTTCGTCTTGTAATCGGAAGGTTGCCGGTTCGAGCCCTGGCTCGGACAGACTCGCTCGTTGTGTCCTTGGGCAAGACACTTCACCTACCGCCTACTGGTGTTGGCCAGAGGGGCCGATGGCGCGATGGCCTCGCCTCTGTCAGTGCGCCCCAGGGCAGCTGTGGCTACACCTGTAGCTGCCTCCACCAGTGTGTGAGAGTGAAGTGAAATTTATTTCGGTCAACAACACAGATTATCATTTTACATAAAAGTACTCAATCATACAGCCTGTGGCTTATAATTATCCTATCCTTTACCCCATAGGAATAATCAAATCCTTAGCCAAGAAAATAAATAGCATTGACAAATAAGTTATATAACAGTTTGAAAATAAATCAATGATAAATCAAGAAATGAAATCAACACAAAGTTATTCATCAAACCAAATTTCCATAAGCTTGAATGATACCAATTTTTAAATTCTTCCTGAAAAATGACAAAGAAAAACACATCTTCAGTTCATCATTAAGTCCATTCCATAATTTCACTCCCAAAACTGGCACATCTATACCTAACATTGGTTTCCACTTTAGGTATTTCAAACTTATAAGACCCCCTCAAATCATATTTTCCATCTCTTAGTTTAAACATACTTAGAATACAAAGTGGAACATTCTTTTTCATCACTCGATATATCATTTCTAAAGTTTTACAATACATAATGTCCATGAATTTTAACATAGATGATCCTACAAAAACTGGTTGGTGGACTCCCTATACGCAACTTTATTTATTATTCAGATTGAATGAATAGTGGAATTGTAAAGCGGTTGAAAAGCACTATATAAATGCAATCCATTATTATATGTGGCCAAATAGCATTAAGTAAAAACTAGCTTTAATTGTGGCATATAAAAACAGTGTTTGATCTTTGTCTAATCATATCTACATGTCTACAAGAAATGTGTTTTTTTGTCTTGTTTTATTGATCATTCATGAACCTTCTAGTAAATTGAACAGAATAGATGTCACTATAAGAATGATGTGATGTTTCTTTCTATTTAGATTTGCAAAGTATTTTAAGATGGAAAATGGGACTGACTACCGCACTCTGGTCAAAGCCTATGCTATCAGGTTTGACGTCTTGGTCAATGGAAATGTGAGTGTGTAGTTTCACTGTCAGTTCACTGAATAAAGAAGTTTACATCCAGTTACCTTTATTTCACAAACACATTAATGATACAGGAATATAAATATGTGTGTAATTTTTTAAAATATATTTTTAAATGATACATCTATAGTCTTGATTGTCATGTTTCTGTTGTTGTTTGTGAATAAAAGAAGAAAACACAAAACACCAGGACTTTTTTGTACCGATCTTCTCCAGGAAACTGAACCTGACTCATACTCTTGTTTTGCAGGCAGGAAAGTTCAACATGATCCCTACACTCATTAACATGGTTGCAGCCTTTACATCAGTGGGAGTGGTGAGTTAACGTTTAGATTTAATCAAATCGTTATAAATGTTTAATTCAGGAGTTTTGTTAAGATTAGTCAATTCTAAAAAGCAAAAGTTTTCCTCTTATCTTTTTCTACCCTTTAAAAAGGAAAATGGAAAGCCTGACATAAAAAATTTTGGTCTAAGAACTGAAGGTGGCTTTGAAGCAGCTTACACCTCAAATGTAAGCCAAAAATCAGGAAGGGGTCTTTATTATTAAGTGGAAAAAATCCAGAGCTACTTGGCCCTGTGTGAAAAGTTCATTGTCCCCTAAGCCTAACAACTGGTTGGGAATTTGAACAGATGTGCGGACATTCTCCATCATGTTTTGGTAAACAGCAGAAGTCGTGCTTCCATTTACCACAGCAAGTCTTCCAGGTGCTGATGCAGCAAAACAGCCCCAGACCATCACGCTGACACCAACATATGTTACTGTGGTATGATGTTTTCTGAAATGCTGTTACTGTTACTCCAGATGTAATGGGACACACACCTTCAACATTTGTCTCGTCAGTCCACAGAGTGTTTTTCCAAAAGCCTGGGGGACCATCAAGATGTTTTCTGGTAAACAAGCCTTTATGGTTCTTTTGCTCAGCAGTGGGTTTCGTCTTTGAACTCTGCCATCTGGGCAACAATGGCCTGCATGGCGGAGTCATGAACACTGACCTTAACTGAGGCAAGTCAGGCCTGCAGTTCTTTGGATGTTGTTCTGGGCTCTTTTGTGACCTGCTGGATCAGTCGTTGTAGCACCTTTGGGGTATCTTTGGTCAGCAATCAATTTTTCACTCAGAGCCATGTAGGTTTGGGTTTTATTTCCCCGTAATAATAAATACCTTCATTTTGTGTACTTGTGTTATCTTGGTACCTGGACTGGTTCTTACAGAGCACTTTTCCACTATAACTGCTTTTTCTATTTAACATTCACACACATTCATTTTCCAATGGATGCATCAGAGAGGAGCTTGGGGTTAGTATCTTTCCCAAGGACATTTGGCATGCAGACTGGACCAGCCAGGGGAACAAACCACCAGCCTTACAAGTAGTAGGTGACCTGCTCTACCACCTGAGTTACAGCCCCCCCTTAAATTGGTGTGGTGATCCGAAACATTTAAGTGTGAAAAACATACAAAAAAATAGGAAATCATGAAGGGGGCAAACATGTATTCGCACCACTGTGTGTGTGGTGTCCCTATCCCATGAAAATAAAAGCCTTTTATTACATATTAAAACCTATCAGAAGTTCCTGGACCACAATCTTTCCAATTTTCTTTATTACTGTAATTCCCTTCAATGACCATTATTGTTTCTTCTTACTTTCTAATTTAGATTTAAAGAATGTTTTGAAAATGCTCATGAAAGTGAGTTCATGAGCATTTTCTGCATCTGAAATTAGAGAAGATCCATTAGTGTCATCGTTGTCAGTCAAAAATATATCAAACATCTGCAACTGCTTGTTTTCAGGATGAAACAACCAACATGTGCAACACCGCTTCATTTTTCCAAATTAAGGGACATTCATATCATTAGTTTATTTGCTGTTGTTTTCTAAACTTACAATAGATTTTCTATGTTTAGACCCGAACTCTTTCATGGCATGCATTTTTAAACTCTCTTTGCTATTTAGGCTGTTTGGGACCTGATTAATGTAAAAACAAAGAATTACCAGATTTTTTTTACCTGATTTTTCTTTCTGAGAGAAATGAGATCCACATATGAGGATATTTGCTTTAAATTTTGATAGAACAGAGGCAGTATAATGTCCTCGTAATTGGAAATCAGGCCCTTGTAGAGCAACATTTTGTATTTTGGTCTAGATATCCCAAAATGTGATGTCCACATATGTGGACGCCAGGTCCTAGGAAGTTAATATATTTATTTAGGCCACTTATATTTGGAAGCCAGGATTATTAAATAAATACATAATGGGTTACATTTGAGGTGTGATTAAAAAAAGTCCCAAATTGATGAATATTGACAAAAAGGTAAAGCATCCATGATGCTTCACACAAAATTTTGGTTAGGTTGGAAAAGAGGTTGATTTTATTTCTCAGTAGAAGTTCAAGGTTAGTGGGGAAATCAGTGCTCAGTGTTCAGAAACAGACAGCTAGAGAACAATCTGAAAATAGCAGCTGTGCTTGAAGATGTCTGCACATGTCCTAGAAAATGATCTTAAACTGGTGATCATCAAAAATTCAATCAGGTTAGACTTTTGATTTTTATTGGCCTTAAATACCAGAAAAAATGAACTGAAACTAAATGGAAATGAAGCTGTGGACCAAGGGGTGGTGACAAGTGACATTTTGGAGGTTGAAGGGGCTTGCTTGTAATTATTATTATTATAATTATAATTATTATCATTATTATTATTACGTAGGGAACAGTGCTGTGTGACATCATACTGCTCAACTTCCTGAAAGGTGCGGAGCAATACAAGGCCAAGAAATTTGAAGAGGTAAAATACCCAGCTCTTAATCACGTTTTAATGTGCACGTTATCTGATTTTTATTGGTGACCATGTTGCTGACATGTAAGGTTAAAACATTATTACATTAAAACACAAAAAGGCTCAAAGTTCAGCAGAACGCAATTTGGAAAAAGTGCGTTTTAAAAAATGTTTTTAAAAAGGACACCCAGCTTGAACCCCTTTCACTTTTGGCAATTCATTCAAATTCTTGGGGTCTTAGATCATATTTAACTCTTGACTCTCTTTTCTGAACTAATCAGATTTCAGGCCTGCTTAAAGAACAACTGTTGCGGGTTCAGATATTGAGGGTGAACACAAAAACAATAATGGTCCAGAAGAGCTTCGGTCAAACAATGATTTTAATGAACACATGCGTGGGGAGATGAATACTGCACACAGACAGCATCGATCTCCAAATGGTGGAGCATTACTCAAACTCTTATAGCCACTGTTGACCCCCACCTAGTCGTAAAAGCCTAAACATTCACATTTTCCTAACTCCTAGCGAGCCTGACTTATGGCCTTGGCTCCCTATTTTGTCTGCCTTTAACAACGGTGGGAGTGAAGCTCCCGTGGAATGTGCTCTGTCTCCTCTACTATCAGAAAAAGCAAAGTCCTGACTCTCTGAAAACAGTATTTCTTATAACTATAACAGGGAGTGCAGAATTATTAGGCAAGTTGTATTTGTGAGGAATAATGTTATTATTGAACAACAACCATGTTCTCAATGAACCCAAAAAACTCATTAATATCAAAGCTGAATGTTTCTGGAAGTAGTTTTTAGTTTGTTTTTAGTTTTAGCTATTTTAGGGGATATCTGTGTGTGCAGGTGACTATTACTGTGCATAATTATTAGGCAACTTAACAAAAAACAAATATATACCCATTTCAATCATTTATTTTTACCAGTGACACCAATATAACATCTCCACATTCACAAATATACATTTCTGACATTCAAAAACAAAACAAATCAGCGACCAATATAGCCACCTTTCTTTGCAAGGACACTCAAAAGCCTGCCATCCATGGATTCTGTCAGTGTTTTGATCTGTTCACCATCAACATTGCGTGCAGCAGCAACCACAGCCTCCCAGACACTGTTCAGAGAGGTGTACTGTTTTCCCTCCTTGTAAATCTCACATTTGATGATGGACCACAGGTTCTCAATGGGGTTCAGATCAGGTGAACAAGGAGGCCATGTCATTAGTTTTTCTTCTTTTATACCCTTTCTTGCCAGCCACGCTGTGGAGTATGGGCAGAAATCTGTGCCATCAGAAACTGAATTTGAATAAGTTAAATTTGAATTTGAATTGCTAGTAAAACGTAGTTCTATTAATCTGCGCTTGAACCGGAACCGGATGTAAGTTCCAAAAAACTGAATTGTAGAACTGAAACTGAATGGTGAGAAGTGAAACTGAAATTATTCGAGAGCTGAATTTTTAAAGGATAAAATGCAGTTTCAAAGCAAATCAATTCATTTTCAAAATATAAATTCTATTTCAATTTAGTGATGATCATTTTCAAACCATAAATTCAATTTCAAATTAGACTAATTCAAATTCAGTTTTCAAAAGCATTTATTCAAGTTACAATTCAGATTCAATCTGAGCAATTCAAATTCAAATTGAACTTATTCAAATTCAGTTTCTGATGGCACAGATTTCTGCCCATAGTGGAGTACTTGGACGCGTGTGATGGAGCATTGTCCTGCATGAAAATCATGTTTTTCTTGAAGGATGCAGACTTCTTCCTGTACCACTGCTTGAAGAAGGTGTCTTCCAGAAACTGGCAGTAGGACTGGGAGTTGAGCTTGACTCCATCCTCAACCCGAAAAGGCCCCACAAGCTCATCTTTGATGATACCAGCCCAAACCAGTACTCCACCTCCACCTTGCTGGCGTCTGAGTGGGACTGGAGCTCTCTGCCCTTTACCAATCCAGCCACGGGCCCATCCATCTGGCCCATCAAGACTCACTCTCATTTCATTAGTCCATAAAACCTTAGAAAAATCAGTCTTGAGATATTTCTTGGCCCAGTCTTGACGTTTCAGCTTGTGTGTCTTGTTCAGTGGTGGTCGTCTTTCAGCCTTTCTTACCTTGGCCATGTCTCTGAGTATTGCACACCTTGTGCTTTTGGGCACTCCAGTGATGTTGCAGCTCTGAAATATGGCCAAACTGGTGGCAAGTGGCATCTTGGCAGCTGCACGCTTGACTTTTCTCAGTTCATGGGCAGTTATTTTGCGCCTTGGTTTTTCCACACGCTTCTTGCGACTCTGTTGGCTATTTTGAATGAAACGCTTGATTGTTCGATGATCATGCTTCAGAAGCTTTGCAATTTTGAGACTGCTGCATCCCTCTGCAAGATATCTCACTATTTTTGACTTTTCTGAGCCTGTCAAGTCCTTCTTTTGACCCATTTTGCCAAAGGAAAGGACGTTGCCTAATAATTATGCACACCTGATATAGGGTGTTGATGTCATTAGACCACACCCCTTCTCATTACAGAGATGCACATCACCTAATATGCTTAATTGGTAGTAGGCTTTCGAGCCTATACAGCTTGGAGTAGGACAACATGCATGAAGAGGATGATGTGGACAAAATACTCATTTGCCTAATAATTCTGCATTCCCTGTATAATGCATCATAAACAATATCATTCATTCACAATAAATCAGCAGTCTAATGTAATACAAATAAGTTTAACACATGTAATAGTTATCACCTTCTTCTAATTCAGGAGAATGCAAACTAAAACTACATAATAGCTTCACAATCCTTAATCAGGGGCATAACATGGCATAAGATAACATTATAATCTCACACAACCTTACTGTAAATGCAACAAAAACGTGTGAATAATAATGGATCCAAACTGCAGGCTGCTGAAGTGGAGGGTGAGTTTATTTGCAACCAAAAGGTACAACAGACAGGGTGGCGAGGAACAGAACGGTGAAAACTCTAAACTGGGAAAACTAAATAAAACACTAACCGGAATACGAACGTGACTTGCAGGGAGAATGACCAGAGAATCAACACAGAAGGGTGGAAGGGAAATAACACAGACGAACCAGCAATTACTATGACAGAAGACACAACTTAAATACACTCAGAGAACACAGGGAGATTACATACAGGTGGGAACACAGCTGGGAGTGATTAACATGACGAGACTAGGGAGGCAAACTGAAAACACTCACATAAGACACAGACCTTCACAATAAAACAGGAACTTACACAAGAAAAGACACAAACTAAGAAACGCGGACTAGATACAGGAACACACGGGAAGAACAGAGTAAACACTAACCAGAGAATTAACAGAACCACAATCACGAAGAGAAAACACAAAACGCTGGGTCAAAAGGACCCAGGATCATGACAAGTTTCTTATTGTGATAGCCCGGTCCTGTGTGCAGCTGTGTTCTCTTTCCCTGCTTATCTCATGTGTGTGTATTTAAGCCCATAGTTTTCCTTTTTATATTTTGTGTCTAAGCGTTTTGCTGTGCGGCCCCTGTTTAGGACTACCTTTAAAACCTGGTTTCTTCAGCCAGCTGGACTTGCTGCCTCACCTAAATAAAGGTGTATTTTTGTCTATTATTTACCACGACACTAGTGATGTGTTGGTCCCAAACGAACAAACTCTTAGAGCCGGCTCTTTGAAGTGAACGATGCGAGCCGGCTCCTAATTGGGAGCCGTGATTTTTTTTTTCTTTCTCCCATCCTCTCTCTCGCACTTTTTTCGGCTTCACTCCGCATGCGAGCCTTGTGCTTTACGCTGGGAAGAGGGGAGAGGGGCGGTAGTTACACTCGCAGTCAAAGCGTTCTCACTCCCGAAGCGTAACATGTCGACGTTTTGTCACGTCCCGCGGCGTTCCTGAGGAACGCGAAAGGAGACCTTCGGCGTTCTTATGGTACGCGGCGGGTCATGGCTGGAATCCAGTGCAATGACGCTCCCGCGGTAATAACCCAGCCCTAAACCTAACCTTATCCCTAGCCCTGACCATAACCTTATTCCTGACCTTAACCAGGACTTTAATGATGTTAAATAGCGTGTTTCTAAGCTATTTGAAGAAAAAGAGCAAACATGTGTAGATTCAGTCCAGACGGTTCGCATATTTCCTCTTTTTTCCGAGGTCGTCATTTAGGAACGTGGTGGGTAGCCGAAAACGTAATATGGTGATGATTTGTCACCTAGCGTAAAATGTTACGCTTTGGGAGTGAGAACGGGTTGTCGCAGTAGCACAGAGAGAGAAAGAGAGCCAGGGACAACAACGTCACATTAGAAAGGTATAGTAATCATCCACAACTATTTTCAGTTGCAGATGATAAAGGATTCAGAAAGTTTATTCATGCATTGAAGCCTATGTATGCAATTCCAAGCAGGAAACACCCTAGGCCTATATGACTGAGAATGTGCATCTTCTTTTTGTTTTGTTTTGTTACGCTTTAAATTTGTTTAAAAGGAAAAAGCTGAAAATTTAAATAGTTAAAAGTTGAAATGTAAATAGTTGTTTTATTGTATTTTATAATTTATTTATGACATTTTATGTGGAGTGAATAAATAAAAGTATATTTACAGTGGCCCCTAGAGACAAATCATGTACAAATTCCAAAACACAGCAGAAATGCTCCAGGATCCTAGTGGCTACACAAGCCAGCAAGTACCAACGACCAGATTTGGTGTGTGGTAGTAACAGGTAAATGAACACTTTTTAAAAAACCATTTGAATATATATGAGTGTTTGTGTATAAATACACAAACAATACACATATGCTTTCAGTTGTGTAATTTAAATGATCTAGGTAGCTGTTTTGGAAGTTTAGTTAACGCTAGAAATGTGTTTTTGTCACGGCGGGGTGCACCGATGTGTGTGGAAACAGGACCCAAAAGCAGATGACGACGAGGAGTAGTAAGGTTTTAACGGAAAAGTGATCCTTTAATGATAACGGCAAGGAAAAACCAGGAAACCAAAGCAAACTGTCAAAACACTAAGAAACAAAACACTAAGAGGTACTAAGACCAAAAACTATAACTATAACTGTGGTGGAAAATAACAGGCTAAGACTAAGACTATAACTGTAACTCTGGTGAGATAAACAGACGACCCGACAATGGCATGCAGAAAACAAAGGGCTTAAATACATACATGAGGTGATCAGGGGAAGTGGAGACACATGGGGGAACAGCTGACTGACATAAACCTAATGACAGGACCAGGAGAGGAAAGCTAAATACAATGAACAAAGAACACATGACACTGTCAGAATAAAACAGGAAACACTAAAACTAGACATGACAATACAAACTTAACAAACCTAATGCGTGATGAATGATACAAGAACCCAAAACATAGAAAACCAGAGGAACAATAAACAATAACTGCCCAAACTAAAGACAGATAGGAAATGACACAAAACTAACCACATAACAAAATGAGACAAATACAAACATGAACTCAGAGTGCTGGGTCAGAGACCCAGCCTGTGACAGAGCCCCCCCTCAAGGGCGGATTCCAGACGCCCGAAAACAACCAGAAAACAAACACAAAAACAAAACCACAACAACCCACCCAGGGCGGGCGGAGGGGGACCAGGACGGAGGGCTGGAAACAAAACCACAAAACACAAAGCGAAAACACAGAGCAAACACAACAAGGGCACAAGAGGCCGAGACCCAGCTCCAGGAGGGCGACCATGAACCCGGCAGAACAGGAGTGAATGGCGAAGCAGTTCAGGTGGCCGCCCCGGAGGTTGACAGCAAAACAAAAGAAAGTTCAAAAGTTCAGGCGGCCGACCAGGAGGCCAACGGTCCAGCAGTCCAAAATCCATGAGCTCAGGGGCCGACCCGGAGGTCGAGAGCACAGCAGGTCAGAGGTCAAAGGTTCAGGGGGCCGACCCGGAGGTCGAGAGCACAGCAGGTCACAGTTCATCAGTTCAGGCGGCTGACCCCGATGGCAACGAAGTCCAGCTGACGGCCCGGAAAGCGGCCGGCGATTCCGAGGGGCAAAACGTGGCTTGGGCAGCGGCAGCACAGCCGCGGGACCAGGCGAGGCCGACACAGAAACAGAGGCCGATGCTGGACCAGGCGAAGCAGAAGCCGAAGCCGGACCAGGCGAGGGCGAAGCAGAAGCCAAGGCCGAAGCCGGACCCAGCGAGGGCGAAGCAGGAGCTAAGGTCGAAGCTGGACCAGGCGAAGCACAGGCCGAAGCTGGACCAGGCAGAGGCGAAGCAGGAACAGAGGCTGATGCTGGACCTGACGATGGCGAAGCAGAGGCAGAAACTGGACCAGGCGAAGCAGAGGCAGAAGCTGGACCAGGCGAAGCAGAGGGAGAAGCTGGACCAGGCGAAGCAGGAGCAGAGGCAGAAGCTGGACCAGGCGTAGCAGAAGCTGAGGCTGGACCAGGCGAAGCAGAGGCAGAAACTGGACCAGGCGAAGCAGAGGCCGAAGCTGGACCAGGCGAAGCAGAGGCAGAAGCTGGACCAGGCGAAGCAGGAACAGAGGCAGAAGCTGGACCAGGCGTAGCAGAAGCTGAGGCTGGACCAGGCGAAGCACAGGCTGAAGCTGGACCAGGCGAAGCAGAAGCCGAAGCTGGACCAGGCGAAGCAGAAGCCGAAGCCGAAGCTGGACCAGGGGAAGCACAGGCTGAAGCTGGATCAGGCGAAGCAGAAGCACAGGCTGAAGCTGGACCAGGCGTAGCAGAAGCTGAGGCTGGACCAGGCGAAGCACAGGCTGAAGCTGGACCAGGCGAAGCAGAAGCACAGGCTGAAGCTGGACCAGGCGAAGCAGAAGCCGAAGCCGAAGCTGGACCAGGCGAAGCACAGGCTGAAGCTGGACCAGGCGAAGCAGAAGCCGAAGCCGAAGCTGGACCAGGCGAAGCAGAAGCCGAAGCCGAAGCTGGACCAGGCGAAGCACAGGCTGGAGCTGGACCAGGCGAAGCAGAAGCACAGGCTGGAGCCGGACCAGGCAAAGAAGAAGCACAGGCTGGAGCCGGACCAGGCGAAGCACAGGCTGGAGCCGGACCAGGCGAAGCACAGGCTGGAGCTGGACCAGGCGAAGCAGAGGCAGAGGCTGGACCAGGCATAGCAGAGGCTGGACCAGGCGTAGCAGAGGCTGGACCAGGTGACAGTGAGGCAGCCACAGGTGGTGGCTGGACGGGCTCCTCGGGCCCCCCAGCTGACGTGGCAGGAGGCTGTGTAAGTTGCAGCAACACACAGTCTATAGTGGGTGAAATGAGTTTGTATGAGTTCTCAGACTGAGGTGTGGCAGAACCAGGCGAGGCGTCGTCCTCAGGCTGAGGCGCAGAAGCAGCAAGCGGTAGCAGGTGGCGGCACGGGAGCCGCAGGTGGTGGCGCTGCAGCCACAGGTGGTGAAACAGAAGGTGGCCAGACGGGCTCCTCGAGCCCGCCAGCTGACGAGGCGTGAAGCTGGACGGGCTCCTCGGGCCCTCCAGCTGACGTGGCATGAGGCTGGTGCGGTTCTCCTGAACCCCCAGCTGACGAAACATGAAGCTGGCTGGGTTCTCCTGAACCTCCAGCAGACGAAACATGAAACTGGCTGGGTTCTCCCGAACCTCCAGCAGACGAGACATGAAGCTGGCTGGGTTCTCCCGAACCTCCAGCAGACGAAACATGAAGCTGGCTGGGTTCTCCAGAACCTCCAGCAGTCATAATACAATTTGTTTTGTCTCACTCGAACTGAAGATCAGGGGTCTGGATCTATAATGATACAAACTCTTTTTCTCTCTTTCTGTAGGTGTCCGACAACCCATCCGAAGGCAATGGACTGTATCGTTCCCAACTGTCTCTCAGACAAACCATGACAAAGTCCAATGACTCAGGGGCATTTTCTATTGAACCTTACAGCTAAATGGACAGCATACGTGTTTATTTCATGTTTTATTATCCAGCAGTACCAAGGTGAAACCATGTCTTTATGTTGTTAGAGATAATACGTAGAATGCTGAATTATTGCTGCTTTGCACTGATTCAAGTTGGATACAAACAAGGACAAAGACATAAAATGAAAACAAAAGCATGACTATCTTTGCATGACTATCATTTGGCATGCGACAGGAGCTCAGGATTTCTGATGTGGTCTGGCTTTTGAAAAGAAATGAGAACTGACTGAAGTTACCGTTTTAACAATAAAGTTAGAAACAAGATAACTGTGATGAACTGGTTCTTGTTTAGTATTTCTATTGTGATTTCCACTCTCATTCATTTACTAGTGATGTGCGGATCGATCCTGAAATATCGATTCCTCCGATACCAATCATTTATGTTCTTGAATCGATTCTCACATTAAAATATCAAAATTTTAGTAATTTAGGGTAAATTTGTAGTTTATCATTAACAAGAACACAGTGGAAAGAAACTATAACATTCTAATTGCCTACATTCAAAGGAACTACTTCCTCTTCCGCCTTTCATAGTCATGTGCGAAATACGGCTGTATAAATGTCTCGCAGCCCCTGGTGTGCGCACTCACAACAATGGCTGAGCGTAATTGTGTGGACGTATTTTACCTCCACAAACTTACCAACCTTGAGACCTCAGAATCAGGGAGACATTCAAAAGGGCTGTTTATTACAGTGTTTATTTATCGGATAAAATACGTTAAATGTCACCGTTATTATTGGCCGGCCCGGAAACAGCGGGGGTGTCCAAATTCAGAGGCTGCTTCCACCTGAGGACCCGGCCTTCGCGGTCTAAAGAAAGCCAGGTAGTACCTCACGAGCTCCCTCGGTGGAGTGAAACTCTGCCGTCTGCTTCTTGCTCTCTAAAATATAACCGGGCGCTGACGTAAACTCTCGACTGTCTCACACTTTGTTTATTTAGTTTTATTCAGCTGTGTGAAAACCCGGAGGAACCCTCCCGAGGGATTAATAAAGTTACATGTAATTTAATCTAATCTAATAACTTTAATCTCAGCCAAACCAATTTAATCATGAACAAATAAAACACTGAAAAAGCCAAACAATAACATTTTTAAGTTATCAAAGTGACTTATATATCATGTTTAACCCGAGTAGCGAAAGACCGCGGGGGTTTGAAGACGATGTGTCGGTCGGCTCAGATATTTGAAGTTTACACAGCTACATTCTGAAAATATGTTAAAAGTTTTTTTGCGACCCAGAAAGAGAAATAAGAGCAATATTAAAACTAAGTCGCTGCCTCCATTGTTGGAGACTGGAATTGGCTGGGCCACGCTGAATTCTGCGATATGGTTTTTCAATTTTGTTGTCCGGGGGGAAAATTGGAGAAATTCAGGAGAATGGTGGCTCTGGGAGATTTTTGGGAGGGGCACTGAAATTCGGGATTCTCCCGGAAAAATCGGGAGGGTTGGCATGTATGGTTGTGGCAACATCACTAACCTTGTCAAACACCTCAGAGTAAATCATATCACAGAATATGACGAGCGTATGTTGAGACGAACTGAAGAGGAGGACAGGGACAGGTGCTGCTAGGGCGAGACAGACGTCTCTCATGGAGTTCTTTAGTGCTGCAGGCAGGCAACGTGTTCAAATATGCACAACTTCAGGTTTTTATTTCTATATGATGAACTCTGCATTATTAAGTGATAAGAACAAGTAATCTGATGTCCTGTAATCATTATGACGCTATAATTTGAGATACAATTAATAAAATAAGTTTTTGTACAAAGTATCGGTAAATGGCCTATATAGCGCTTTACTAGTCCCTAAGGACCCCAAAGCGCTTTACATATCCACCCATTCACAAACTGGTGATGGCAGCTACATTGTAGCCACAGCCACCCTGGGGCGCACTGACAGAGGCAAGGCTGCCGGACACTGGCGCCACCGGGCCCTCTGACCACAGTAGGCAACGGGTGAAGTGTCTTGCCCAAGGACACAATGACCGAGACTGTCCAAGCCGGGGCTAGAACCGCCAACCTTCCGATTACAAGGTGAACTTCCAACTCTTGAGCCACAATCGCCCCATCGGTATCGGATCAGTATCGTCGATACCACCCTGAATATTACTTGGTATCGGATCGGAAAGGAAATCAGTGGTATCGCACATCACTATCATTTACGGTGTGTAATATAGACTGATTGTGGTTTGGTTAGATGACAGCAGATACGACCTGATATGGTTTTTCAACCATAGTGATGGAAAGCTTGGTATCCTTTCTTCATCTTCTTGTTCTTCTTTGTGCCACAGTGGGTCACCTGCCTCCATCTTTCCCTATCTCTACCATTCTTTCCTGTAACATCAGCCCTCTGTGAATCTTTCCTGCAATCTACCTTCTTAACTCCTGCGTGGCAGCTCCATATTCAACATCCTTTGCAAAATATATCTACCACCACTCCCCTGCAGATGTCCGAACCTTTTCCCTTTAACTTTGTCTCCAAAATGTTCAACCTGAGCTTTCCCTCTGATGTATTCATGTCTAATCCTAACCAACCTCGTCACTCCCAATGAAGACCTTAGCATTTTTAACTCTGTCATCTCTAGTTCTGCCTCCTGTCTTTTTGTTGGTGCATTGTTAATTTCGTTGACTAATAATTTTCATAATAGTTTTTGTCAACCTTTTTTTTCTGACGAAAACACAACTGTGATAACACGATGACAAAAACTATGATGAAACTTATTGACACTTTCATCGAGTAATAAAAATGAGATGTAAATGTTCTGGAGTGATGAGATCCAATTAAAACTAATTAAGATGTGTAGAAAGAGGGGATGAGTTTGGAAGTGATCCAAGCAGAAGTTATCTCCCTATGCAGTAAGGTTAGTTTGGTAGAGATGCTCCCGTGCTCCCTGTTTCTCATGAAAAGGTGACAAAATGTGAATACCTGGAAGTATATAGTATCAAATGTGCACATTCCACATTTGATGAAAAAGCAGATAAGATACTTTATAAACCGTGAGGAGCAACTCTCACTGGTTCAAAACACTACGTACTTTATGCTTTAGTCAACTGAATCAACTTCAGATTCACTGTAGCTCTACTATATTTTATTCAGTCAACTAAAAATAGACTCAAAGAATTTAGATGCCTTAATTAATTGAGTAAAACTACATCAAAGTTTTCTGTCAAAATGAATGCTGCTGACTGTTAGGGTGCCTGGGTCATCAACGCAGTTTTGAGTTTTCATTTGGTTTCTTTATTAGAGCTCTGTCTTCTGGTTTCTGTCTGTGTTCCATAGTTACTCTCTCTCCCCTGGCTGCTGTGTCCCCTTGTCAGGTCTGCGTCTTTGTGTTATGTTTCCTGTTTTACTTTGAAGTCCGTGTCTCATATTTTGCCTCATTGCGGTTTATTTCAATCAATCAATCAATCAAAATTTATTTATATAGCACATTTTTAAAGACCGAAGTACACCAAAGTGCTTTCCAGTAAAATCATGATACAGATAAAAATCAAAATATAAAATATAAATTACAGATATAAATAAAATATAAAATAATTACATAATCTAAATGCAAAGCTAGATGTAAATTACACTAATTCACCTTGAATGCCAAGTTAAACAAATACGTTTTTAGACGTGATTTAAAAGACTGAATGGAATCTGATGCGCGAATATGAAGAGGAAGAGTATTCCATAACCTGGGTGCAGCAAAGGCAAAGCACGGTCTCCTCTGGTCTTCAGCCGAGACCTAGGTTGCACTAAGAGCAGCTGGCCCGATGATCTTAGCGCTCTCTGAGGGCTATACAGACAGAGGAGATCAGCTAGGTAGTCAGGTGCCATATTGTTAAGAATTTTATAAGTAAACAATAAAATTTTAAAATCAATTCGGTATTTAATAGGAAGCCAGTGTAAATTTGCCAGAACAGGGGTGATAGAATCGTACTTTCTAGTGCCGGTCAAGAGACGTGCTGCGGCATTTTGGACCAGTTGCAAACGCTGAAGAAGAGAAGATTGTAGACCCAAGTAGAGAGAATTACAATAATCCAGTCTTGAAGTGATGAAAGCATGAATGAGTTTCTCCAGATCTTTGTGTGGTATGTAAGGTTTAGCCTTAGAAATTAGGCGTAGTTGGTGAAAGCTGGTTTTTACCACAGTAGAGACCTGTTTATCTAGTTTGAAGGAGCTATCCATGAAAACTCTAAGATTCCTGGCAGTATCAGTGAGGCGGTTAGCAACAGGCCCGAATGTGCCAGTCAGTTGTCCCAGAGGCATATTTCTATCAAAAACAATAATTTCTGTCTTCTTTTCATTTAAAGTAAGAAAGTTACGTGATAACCAGTCTTTGACATCGCTCAGACAATCAAACAGAAGATGTAGTGAAGATGAAACATCCCCAGTCAGGTGGAGGTAGATTTGAATATCATCAGCATAGCAGTGAAAAGAGACATTATGTTTTTCAAAAATGGAGCCCAAGGGCAGCATATACAGAGAAAGCAACACAGGACCCAATACCGACTCCTGGGGCACACCACACCGAAAAAGGGCAGAAGAAGAGGAATATTTTCCCATCATGACAGAGAACGACCTCAAACATTTAGTGAACAATTAAGCAAATACAGGTAATCTGCAATAAATTACAGGTAGTAAGAAAATAAACTACTAACTCTTTTACGCTGCGTCCGCACCTACACGGGTGATTTTGAAAACGCAGCTGTTTCGTCCACGTAAACGGCGTTTCAAATCACTGAAAACTGAGATTTTTTAAACTCCTTTTTTGCGTTTACGTGTGGACGAGGAATACAGAGTTCGTCACGCAGCGTCAAAGGTATGTGCCTTTTTTCACGTCACGCTGTGGCCACGTTATTGTTTACATGAGATGAATTGCAGAATGGCAGATATTCAGATCAACAGTATTTTGTCTCTATCTGCAGGTTTACACACAGTTACTGTCCCTCCATTTACAAAGGCAGAGGCGTCACAGTGTGATTGTTTTACACACAGTAAATTTCCCAGTGTTAAATCAGCAGTGTTAAAGTGTATTTACTCTAATAGAGTCATTATAACAACAGCTGGAGCAAAACGCCCCCCAGTGTGGGTGATGATTCCTGGAGTTAAAAGAGACAGTGTCAACGTTACTCTAGAAAGCTCCTCCCACCACAGACTGGTTTTCAAACCAAGAGGATTTTTCACGACGCCATTTTCTTCACATCAGTTGCAGGGTAAGTTGTTCATATTTACTTTTTTTTTTTTTTTAATTCATATTTTTA